ACTGGGAGACCCACTAGATCCTCTGGGTCCTGAATTCATCACCCTTCCCTGGGTGGCACAAATGGTTAAGGGCTCAGCTACTAACCAAGAAGTTGGAGGTTGGAGCCCGCCCAAGGCACCTTGGGAGGTAGGCGGGCCATTGACTCCTGAAGGGTCACAGCGTTGAAAGTCCTGGCGTGCATTGCTACTCTGACAGCTGCCCACGGCTGCTGGCGGGCTTTGAGTTTGAGAATGCCTGAGGCTCACCCTGGCTTCCTGACCACCCGCTCACTGCAGTTCCCTCCCCTGGGCAGGTACAGCTGCCGCCAGATACCAGGACCCAGACCCAGCAGGCCCAGGACCTGCTGACACAGCTGGCAGCTGAGGTGGCTATTGATGAGAGCTGTGAGCGAAGAAACCCAGGTAACACCTCAGCGGTGCCTCTAGGGACCCGGCACCCTTCTTCCCCCACGAGGGAGAGGCTTTGCTGGCTCACTCTGGGAGATGACTACAGCCCCGAAAGATCAACATTCTAAGAGCGGGCATTTCTTGAGTGCCTGTTTCTAAGAGGGGAGTCCTGGTGGCTTCCTGGTTGGCTGCGATCCGAAAGGTCAGCAGTTTGAAACTACCAGCCCTTCCAGGGAGAAAGGCGGAGCTGTCTAACAGCCTCGGAAACTCGCAGGGGAGTTCTACCCTGTCCTATAGGGTTGCTGTGAGTCGTCATCCACCCCCATGGCAGCGAGTTTGGTTTGGGTTTGGAGTCCACAGGGAGCCAGTATAGGTCTGGTGGTTAAGGCAGTGAGTCTCCTTACTGCCTTTACTGGCGGTGTGACCTTGGACTACGTGCCAAGGTCACGCCCCTACTAAGGGGTAGCGCCTTGAAACCCAAGTTGTTTGGTTTTGACTTCAAACTCGGCACCAAGCTGAAGGTGGCCGTGTCAGAGCCACATCCACCCACTTGACTAAAATCCTTCCCAGCACGTGGTCAGTGATGGCCTCTCTGCGAGTCCCCTGGGAAACAAGAATCCCAGTCCCGAATGACAAGGCCACTGGCTGGCCCTGGGCTTCCTGCTGCCTCACATCCCGGTCCTTTCCTACAGAGCCATGAGCATCAAACCCTGGGGCATCCACCATCAGCGCGGCATGTTGGGATACCAGGAGGGTGGCAGCGGGTGTGGCCAGAAAACCATGCCCAGGGTTTACCCTTTCACATGTGGCAACCTGGAGGAGATACAGGTTTCATTCGACCTACGGCGTAAAGCGAAGTTGAGAAGTAGGCTAATGTGCTGCCTGACTGTCTTTCCTTCCAGCAGCCTCCATCCAGAACGACCTTAACCAGGGTGGCTCAGGGGCCCGGAGTGCTGGTCCCCAGGGGCAGGCTCCCCCGTCCCTGGAGGAGGAAAAGAGCAGGCTGCTGGCGCAGGCTGCAGTGGAGCTTCGGGAGGAGAACACCAGGCAGGAGCGGATCCTGGCCCTCGCCAAGCGGCTGGCCGTGCTGCGAGGACTGGACCCTGCAGGAGGTAGCGCCCGGGGATGCTGGCTGGACTCTGGACTCTGTCAAGGCGGAGTCCGCCCAGGGCCCCCAGGAAGTGCTGGGCAGAGCAGGGGATGAGAAATCAGGAGTAGGGAACCCTCAATCCCTCCAGGTGCTGGGATTTCTGTTCCTGGCCCTCTCCACTCCCACCCTGCAGGGGCAGGGGTGTGTCCCTGGGTGGCACAGAGGCTGTGCAGCTCTGAAACCAGTGCAACTAGGAGCCAAACCAGCTTCTAGAGGCAAGAATGTAGCCTCGGGGTGGTGGTGGTGGTGGTAATGTGTCACTTCTGCTGTTCCTTCTGCTCCCGCCTCTGTCTTCCAGTGACCCTCCAGGACTATCGCCTGCCAGACAGTGACGACGACGAGGATGAGGAGACAGCCATCCAGAGGGTCCTACAGCAGGTGGGCGCTGCCTTGTCCTCTCTGCCTCCTTGCTCCACCACCCACCTGGGCCCAGCCCCCCATCACCCCTCTGGGGGCGGTGGGACTGTCAACCGTGCCTGCTTTAGCTGGGGCCCCTGCTACCCCTGTGGTGCATGCCTAGCCCTGGTCCCCGACCGTGGGGACTCAGCAGGTCACAGGAGATGAGTGGAAAAGCCACAGAGCCCCAGAACTGCGGGGAGGGGCGAGTGTGAGCCTCTTCCCCCCACCCGCAGCTCACGGAAGAAGCTGCCCTGGATGAGGCAAGCGGCTTTAACATCCCCGCAGAGCCAGCGCGCAGGACCCAGGCCCGGCTCCCCCGGTCAGTGCCGGAGGTAAGGAAAGCCCCAGACACAGCCCTGGAGCCATCAGCACAGTCTTCCTGGCCCTGCCCCCACTGCACCTTCTCTCCCCCACCCCCTCTCCTCCTCCCCTCTGGACCCCAAAGGCCTCTGCGGCACCCCCCACGCCTGAGGCGGAGGCGGAGGAGCTCCCCTGGTGCTGCATCTGCAACGAGGATGCCACGCTGCGCTGCGCCGGCTGTGACGGGGATTTGTACTGTGCCCGCTGCTTCCGGTGGGTGCCGGCCAGGGCTCCGTGGGACCGGGAACCCGCGGGCCGGCTGGGGTCCCTGAAACGCAGTCCGTCCCTCCGCAGGGAGTGTCATGATGCCTTTGAGCTTCAAGAGCACCAGACAGCTGCGTACCACCGTCGTCCCCCCAAAGCAGACCGAGAGCACTGAGGAAGCCCCTGGCCCCCGAGGAAGGTGATCTCACGCTGTCCAGGGGGCAAAAGGGGGCGGGCACCCACTGTGGGGCCCAGCCCCTTCCTGAGCCTCAGTGTTCCTGGAAGGAGGAAAGTCTCCACTGGAGACAGATGACTGCAGGAGGCAGCTGGAGGCAGTCAGGAGCCCCAGAGCAGAGAAGCCCGGGCTGGGAGTGAGAGGCATGATGGGGAGAGGACCAGACTGACTCCCAGGATGAGCTCTGAAGCGCCTCCCTGGCACATACTGGGTTTAATAAAATCTATGGACTCCTTAGACTCAGCCTCTCTTGACTCTGGTGGGCCCTGAGTCTGGGCCCAAGAGCAGAGTAGGCTACCAGCCTAGGCCTGTGGGGCAAGGGAAGAGTGAGCTACTCTGGACGCTCCTCCAGGGAGGAGCAGCCGCGCCCTAATCAGGGGCCCCGACTGGAAGGCATGAACTGAACTTTGCCTCCTGCTTTGGGCAGCCCTGCCTAGCCAGCAGGTCCCACCTTCAGTGTTCAGTGGCTCAGCCCGTCATAGTCATGGCGGGCAAAGGAAGATACAGGTCTGAGTGGGGAGACCCAGCTTGCTGCCATATTCCCAAAGGGCCCCAGCCCCAACTTGGCTGCCCATTCAGACCCAGTGGCCGTCTTCCAGCAACTGCCCCTCCTTGGCCTCTGGCCTCCAAGCCTGTATCTTGTACACTCCCCTCAAAGCCTCTGCTTCCGTCTGGCCAGAGCCAGCCCAAGAGCGAACCTGAGGCTTCCTGCGTCATTTGGGAGCAGCAGAGACATGAGCCCTCCCTGATGCCCCCAAACCCAGATAGCAGTTTCCTGTCACCTCCCCACTGAGCTTTGATGCCAGCCTTTGCCACTGGGGCCCCTCCTGTGGGTGATGCCAAAGTGCTGAGTGTCTTAACCACATCATTCTGCTCAGCCTCCTGGCCTTCCAGCTCTCTGAAGCAGAGTTCAGATTTTTATCTTTGAATTCTCAAGGGCTGTTTTGATGAATGAATGAGGTAAGTGGGTAGACTAGTCCCCAGTGACTCAGGATATTCCCCTTTCAGTATAGCACGTCCCCTCCCCACCAGCCCTCAGCACAAACATGCTCCACACGCCATTCACCTGGGCCTCCTACACCTTTTATCCACTTGGCTGCTGCCAAGGAAATCACTGGCTAACAGCGTGCCTGGCTCCCAGACAGCTCAGCTGACGGGAACGAGCTGTGAATACACATCCACTCGGGGTGTCCCAATGTCCATCCTCGTCGGCCACCGTCCTCGTCCGGGTCCAAAGGAGCTGTTGTCCTCTCCCCGCAGCCCAGGACCCGGCGTTCAGGGCAGTGTTGAGATGGTTGGAGGTGGCCTTACCAGGCTTATTTCTGCGGCCTGCTGAGTCTGCGGAGCTTCTTGAGTTGACTGAGGAGCTCAGAGATGAAAGACTAGGGAGAGAAACAGGCGAGATCAAGACATGAGCGACACCCCTCAGCACCTTGCCCTCCTCACACACACATCCCCTGACCCCTTTCTCCAGAAGTCGGCAAGGGGGTAAAGACCCAGGACCACCTCTTCCTTTCATCTGCCTCCCTGTATCTGTCTTCTCTCCCTGGCCCCTCTTCTCCAGACCAGCAGAGTGTCCCTTACCTCTGTGGGGCGGGGGCAGTCCTGGAGAATGACCTAGGTGGAAGAGAGCAGAGAGGGAGTCCCCTGTCAGATCCCCAGGAGCTGGTCCCCCACAACGCACCAACGAGACAGGGCCTGGATTTTTAGGTTGCTCTTGGTCCAACCCATCACCAACCCCTCATCACTTGAGCCCAGGGCCCAGGCCTCCCATCGAACCTCAAGATGGGTCTTCTGCGCCTCAGCGGGTAGTTCCATGAGAACTTCCAGGTCAATCTCGGGCTCCAAAGGGGCTGGTTGATCCTGTGTGTGGGAATCCCGTGGGTCAGAGGCCTGACCAGTTGATACTAACGTTACCCAACAGGGGCTCCCTCCCTGTCTTCCTCCTATTCCCCAAGGTCAGCCCCTCTCCTCATTGTAATCAACACTCATTCATTCCAGTTAAAACACACATACACACACACAGCCCTGTGGTTAATGATGCCAAGGCCTCAGGTAGGGGCTTGGATTTCACTCTAAGTGCACTAACCTATCTCACACCTGAATCAAGAAGCAGGCAGTACTCTCCTGGTCCTGACTGAACTCTGCTTCTGTCCTTCCGTGTTCCGTTTTTCTGTCCTCAATTGTGTTTGGCTCTTGCCAACTTACTTTGTTATGAAATGTTAAGGCAAAAAGTTATCACAGCAGACATCTAAGGTACAACTCTTGGTCCTCCATCAAAGGACATAATAATGAAAAGTTAAAAGAGACAATGAAGCAATTAAGCCAATGGACTCATGGGCCATGCAAACATCAGACTCCACAACTCAGAAGAACTAATGTTGTCTGGTGACCACCATCCACTGCTCTGAAGGGGGTCCTGTCAGAAGGAGCTGGGTAGGAAGGAAGACAAATGTGGAACAAAGCCCCCAATCATAAATGGCAGTGGGGATACTGGAAGGGTGGAGGCTGGTGGGACTCCCAGAACGGTGGCCCCAAGGCACAGGTCTGAACCTGACCTCACCCATGTTAGAGTAAGCAACCACGTAAGACCCAAAGGGCAGCATTTATGCCAGGACAAAGGACTCGGGGTTAGGAAAGACGAATGGAATTCAACGCAAGAGGACTGGGATAATCACGGCATATTGCGAGGGTTGCATTGAAACTTGAAGCAAGTTGTGTATAAATTGTGGAATGTAACTGTGACCTGTTCTGTAAACCTTTACCCAATTCCCAAAGTTATTATACCGCTTTAAAAAAAAGTTAGCACTGAAGAAAATTAAACAGAGTTTATAAAATTAAAGCCTCAGCTACCCTGTCTCACTCCTTCCACTGTTAACAGGTTGTTTGTTTTTAACTTTTTATTGTGAGTTAGGTGAAAGTTTATACAGAAAACCAAAATTTACCATCAGCAATTCCTACACACTTGCTTTCTTTCATCCCCGTCTTCTGGGTACCACCTCTTGTCCCTGTGCAAACTTTGTTTGCTCCCTGTGTTTCCTGTTTCCAGTCCTCCTTTGCTAAGCTCTGTACTTTAACCTTTGATCTTAAGTGTAACCCAGGGTGAGTTCAGTTTTAAGCCTGATGGGTGACAAATGTGGAACAAAGCCCCCAATCATAAATGGCAGTGGGGATACTGGAAGGGTGGAGGCTGGTGGGACTCCCAGAACGGTGGCCCCAAGGCACAGGTCTGAACCTGACCTCACCCATGTTAGAGTAAGCAACCACGTAAGACCCAAAGGGCAGCATTTATGCCAGGACAAAGGACTGGGCTCCCAACCTCGCTCTGACCAGTGTGGAGTTGCATTTCCCTCAGACAAGCGGTGCCAGATATCTTTACCTGTTCCTGTCTACTGGCCATCGTGAGTCTTCTTTGAAGCCTGTCTGGTCCAATCCTTTGCCATTTTGATGATTGGGTCGTTTGTCCTTTTTGTTGTATTTAAAAGTGATTTATATATTTTAGATTTAAACTATTATCAGATTTATCCAAATATGGTTATCTTCTCACAGACTGTAATATTCTGACTCTTGAAAATATAAATATCTGAAGTTTTGTATTTTGATAAAAGTCCAATTTTTTTGTTTTTTTTTCTTTTGTTGTTTGTGCCTTGGTTGTCTTAGTGCTGGATCTGAGCGCACTGCCAAATACAAGGTGTTGTACTTTTACTCCTGTGTTTTCTTCAAAGAGTTTTCTGGTTTTAGCTCATATATTTAGGTCACAAATCCACTTTGAGTTAATCTTCATATAGGGTGTGAGGTAGGGGATCCAGGATCATATTTATCCTCTCAAAACCTAAGTCCCTAGAAACCTAGACAAAATATATTAAAGTTTTCATGAATTCTGCTCTATGGAATTTGAGCTGGAATTTGCAAGACAGAGTTCTAAAGGAGAGTTGTAAGGAAAGACACCTCCAGTCATTTGCATAAAGTACCCTGGAGTCTTTGCTGACTCATAAAATTCACATGCATAGGGTAAAACTTCACAAGGCCAGGAAAATGAAATGGGGGCACTGAGTTGAACAATCCCCAAACCCCACACAGAATTGGGAGATATTCAAGTTCCAACCAGCCAGAATGGGGATCATTATTGAACAGAAAGGGATTCCACATAAACCTCAGAAAGACCATGCTTCGGTAGTGAACTAAATTAAACCTAGATTAAAGGTTATTCTAGACTCACCCTAATACAGCTTGCAAGTAAGCCTCAGAAGTATCAAGCAGAATGACAAGTAGCCCAACTGCCTACCAGAAAAAAGACCAAGCACTCTTTAAAGAAAGAAAACCAAATCCAACTACTCAATAGCATAAAGTCCACACGGTCCAGGATCCAACTGAAAATCACACGAAAAAGGGACTCATAGCCGGGAAATAAGCTAGTCAATAAAAACAGGCCCAGCCTCCTCGTGCGCATTCCCTAATACAAGAGCACCTTGCTCAGCTAAACGGTCATTTCATGATACCCACCTTCCCGACATGATCGCTGAAGACAGACGTGTGTATAGCAAATGTGGTGAAGAAAGCTGATGGTGCCCGGCTATCAAAAGATATAGAGTCTGGGGTATTAAAGGCTTGTAGGCAAACAAGCGGCCATCTAGCTCGGAAACAACAAAACCCACAGAGAAGAAGCACAC